CTTTTATGGATGACCTCTATGATAAAAATAGCACTTTATCGAAGTTTCTAGGTTATAGGTTGTTGAATATCTCCTTTATTGATAGTGGGCCTTGCTGCTACAACCGCTCATAAAGCATTGTTTACATATGCTGCTCAAGTCTGTTTTGCTGCATTTTACTGATGTGAAAAATGATATGAAAATAGCTCGTGAAGAGGTTTTATTTCTATTTATTCTCGATAAAAAAAACTCAAATGTTTGTTTAGACTTTTGGTCCAGTTATGTCAATATTGAAGTTTGATTCATATGATGAAGTAATCAAACGTGCAAATGATACACCTTATGGTCTAGCTGCTGGTGTTATAACAAAAGATTGTAAGTTGAATATGTATAAAACACATGTTAATGCATAGAGAGTATATATATTCTAGTATCACGCGCTTTACAACTAGTTGAACAATTGCAAGCTGGTTCAGTATGGGTGAATCAATATAGTGCTTTGCAGTTTCAAGCTCCATTCGGTGGTTTCAAACAATCTGGTCATGGACGTGAATTAGGACGATATGGTCTTGAAGAATACTATGAAGTGAAAACAGTTTCAATCAAAATTGACTAAAACTTTATTTTTTTATCTGATAAAAAATAATTTATCAATGAAAATGATTTGTTTGTTTTTTCTTTATGTAAAACCATTTTTACTAAACCACCGGTCAATGCATAAATTCGGTCATTAATAGGTTTGTGGATATCTGATAATTTTATACTTCGTCATACTTTTGTGACATACATTGTTGTATTATTTCGACATGAAGAAAAAATCTACCATTTCCATATCTTTTTTCTTTATTCTACTGTTATTGATAAAAGAGAAAATGTGTGGTGCAGAGAATGAAAAGAAAAGGGTTTATAGTTACACATTGATAAAACAGAACGAGAAGGCAAAATATATGCGATGTATATAAATATCTTTTCATCAATGTAAGATCAGAATGACATTACTATCTCGTTGCCTGTGAATCGTAATACATTGATTCTAATTTTGCACCGTTTTTTTTTGTCGCATATTTTTTTCAGATGTCGGCAAGTGATTCAAAAGCTTCTAGCGTTGAAATCAAATATACACAAATTTTTATTAATAATGAATGGCATAAAGCAGCAAATGGTAAAACATTTCCTGTTTTCAATCCATGTACAGGAGAAGAAATTTGTCAAGTAGAAGAAGGCACAAAAGTAAGAGTATACTTACACATATTTCTTTTAATTTATGATCATGATTGATTTTTTTGTCATAGGCTG